CTACTTGTGGGCTGGTCAGGGTGGCAGCGGCGGCTGGTGCAAGCTATCGTTATTCTTGACCGCCACCCCTTTCTTGCCACTCATTATTCTCTAAGGAAAACAAGTGCAAGGTCTCCTTTTCCAAATCATATCTACAACTAATAGCATCTTTTGATAAAGGAGGTACTTAAGGTCATTTGTTATATGTAATGTGGCTATGGAGCTCTACAGGAGCGGTAGTAATTTGCTCGAAACTCGCAGTTAACAATCATTGTCTACCCGCAGTTAACGACAGGTTCATCTTGAAATAACGACCAAACTATGAGGATAACTAAGAGGCGCTCACATAGAAGAGGCACGTCGTTGAAAATCACTGAAAATTAGAGGGGATCGAACACCCCGACCAGTCTGTATACACCTTATACCGCATCAACCCCACTAGGCTAAGACTATTTTGTTTGAAAAAGCATGTTATAAGGGTAATTCCGCAAGACATGATAACTAATCTTTAATAACTATTACCACTAATTTAATCATGCAGTACTTCTCCCTTGAGATAGCATTAGCAAACAGCATAAGATGAGGAATTCGATGTTTCAATAAGCACTACGCAGCATTTCCATCCCACCAGATTGCTAGTAGATAGAGTTATAACAGCAGCTAAACTTGTGATCCTGCGCTGTTATTGTGAGAAAGCATTATTTGAATTTTCATTAACCGATAGCGATGGCAGCGATGGTGCCTCTTGGCGGATCAATCGCCTGTTTTGGAATGCGTCAGCCTCCTAGTCTATGGCGAAAAAGTCATTCGCGGACCAGGTGCCTATCTTGAAACGCGTCAGTCTCCCAGCCGATGGTATCTTATGCCCTATTGACGGACCAACCGCCTATCTAGGCATGCGTCAGCTCCGTTTGCGCTGGCTATAACCACGAGCAAAGAGTCCTCCATAGGACTTTTGAACGAAACGAGCACTGCTACACCTGCGTCTCTCCACTCCCACACTATCTCATCGCATCCGCCTAACTTGCAGTTGACTTGCACCTTCAGCTCCCTCTTCAATAGCCGACGAAACTAGCAGTTTTGTGCGATATAACTAGGAGGTTGCTGGTAATTTAAGGGCACAACTTCTTTTGTATTTATTTTTTTCACACCGTTCTTCTGCCAACTATATATTACTCCATTACATCCATCATGTTAACTTTTCCCCATCTGAAGCTATTTCACGACGTGCTCGTCCATTCTAAACTCCGAGTTAGGTAGGCAATAACAGCGAACAAACTCGCAGTCAACTCTCATCCAGGCGTCGCCGTTTCGGCTAGATTACTACCGCCCCAGGTTTTTCAGCCTGAGCAGTTAGTAACACAACCCAATGCAGGTTTTGTACCAGGTGCGCAGTGTACATTTGGCAGAAATAATTTTTTGACCATTCGAATAAATTCGCATTTGAATCATCCGAAAATTCGAATACTTGAAGAACAAATTCGCGAATAATGATCCGAATACTCAAAATCATTCCGAATAATTCAAAAATTCGAATATTCGAGAATCCTAAACTTTGATTTGCTCTATTATTCGAATCTTCAAAATCTTCAGTTTTCGAGTCACTCAAAAATTCGAATATTCGACGGATACGAATTCTCGAACATTGGAACAAACCACATTCGAACACGCAAACGTAAAATAACTTTTGTTTAGAAAGTATTCGAATATTGATTCTGAATTTATTCCGAATTTCTTGATTTGGAATTATCCGAAGATGCGAATATTTGAAAACTAGCTTGCATACCCGGCTACGCTCAGCTGTTCCAGAGTAGTCAATAGTACTTTGTTTTAAAGTAGTTTTTTTCCGAAAGGAGTACAGTTTAGTTTTAAGGTTTCCAGC